GCGGCATCCCTGCAGGGGTGTTCCCCCCCCCCCCCGTCTATGCAACGCTTTCCCTTGGGATTTTCTGCAGAGACAAGCAGATAATCCCCCTCCCCAAAAAAAGAGAACGAGGCGATGATGAGAGGGCTGTTCCCTGACGTGTCCCCGAGTCTCCTGTTTTGTCCTCTCCCCAAAAGAGTTTTGCATGGAAGCTTGGGGTTGTTTTTTTCTTTCCCGGTCGCAGTTTTAAGTTGGCCCCAGATGGAGGAAGTGAATTTGCTCTTATCTATCCTCCTCCCAACCCAGCCCTCCCTAAACTCCCTTCCACTAGTTTCTGAACGGGGGACAAGTAATTAGGAAGCAGGCAAACACACACACAAAGAATGGATTAATGTCACTGGGCGGGGTTGATTTATGTGTTGAAAGGGGCTGAAGAGCGTTAAGAGAACCGGCTTCCCAACCGTAGGGAATAGCACAGAAAAGAAATTACAGGAGATTATCACTTTCACACACACTAAGTAATGTACTTTCGATGCACTTTGCAACTGGATTGTGTGAAGTGGCAAAATCCCCTGGCATACGGTCACTGAGGTGGATTGAAAGTGCATTATTTGTAGGGTTGCCAGACTCCAGGTGGGGCCTGGAGATCCCCTCCCCCCGCTTTTACAACTGATCCCCAGCTGACAGAGATCAGCTCACCCTGGAGGAAGTGGCTGCTATGGCATTGTGCCATGCTGAGGCCCCTCCCCAAACCCCAGTTTCTCCTGGATCCACCCCCAAAGTCTCCAGGTATTTCTCTACCCAGACTTGGCAACTCTAATTATTTAGCATGTGTGAAAGCACTATTATGTTACAGAGGCAGAGAGACCTTGGGAGGGGAGTAGAAATGGTTTGCTGAGTTGTACAATCCACCTACTGCTTCTCCCCCCCAAGTCTAAAACACGACTTTTAAGAGAGAAGCCAGGTGGATGGCAGTAGTAAAAAGAGCACTTTCTTGGGAGTAAGCCCTACTGAATCCAATGGGGTTTGTATCTGGGTAGACCTATTTAGTATTGCTGCTGCAGTCTTGTCAGATGGTTGTATGGGCTCCTGACGGTGTCACTGCTGGGAGAAGCAGCTTCGGCTAAAATTCTCAGGAGCAAAGCACTTGGTAGTTTTTGTTGGAAAAATTGGCAAAAAGTACTCAGATATTCAAAGTTTGCGATGGATCTTTGCTTCACTGGAGAGAAGGCATTTCTTTCTGTGTAAAAATCTTTATTTCTAAGGGAAGGGTACACAGTAAAAGCTACAAAATAACGAAAACCTAAGGCTACATCTCTACAGCTACAGAGGAGACCGGCCACATAGTCTTTCAATAGCAACAACAGCAATGGAGATTCTTCTTCTTCTTCTTCTTCTTGACCCCTATTGACCCCTAGAAGGAAATCACCTGAATACATTAACCAGTGATTGTGAGTAAACAGACTTAGATTTCCAGGGCTTTCTTCCCATTGGCCAGGTCTCCCTTTAAGGTCAGTCTAAACAATAGCACACAAGGTAAACAGATTAACCCTATAATGACTGAATTAGACCTTGCAACACCTTTCCAACAGTTTTTAGTGTTGACTTGACCCTCACAGCAGCCTTGTGAGGTAGGTCAGTATTGACCTGTCTGGGAAAACCGAGGCTGAGAATGCATACTTTGTTCAGAGCTGCACATTGAGTCCTGACAGAGGGAGAATCCAGATCTGTACCAATGGCATTCTCGCTGCACTGAACCATAACACAGGAGACAGCTATGGATTTTCTTTCAGCCCACAATCTCTTGTGCCTTCCATTCCTATGCGATCACCAAATGAAGTTCACGTTGGGGGGGGGGACACACCCTTATATTTCAATTTTTATTTTTGCCATCAAGTGACAGCTGACTTCTGGCGACCCCTGGTGGGGTTTTCAAGGTAAGAGATGAACAGAGGTGGTTGGCCATTGCCTGCCCCTGTGCAGCAACCCTGGTATTCCTTGGTGGTCTCCAGTGTTCCCTCCAAGATGAGTTAGTGTGAGCTAGCTCACAGTTTTTTAGCCTCCAGCTCACACATTTTTGTTTTAGCTCAGGAAGGGTGGCTCCAGAGCAAACATGCAGGAGCCAAATCACTCGCTCACAACTTTCATGCCCGTAGCTCACAAAGTAAAATCTTTGCTCACAAGACTCCACAGCTTAGAGGGAGCATTGCCAAATACTAACCAGGGCCAACCCTTGCTTAGTTTTGAGGATCAGAGGAGATTGGGCTAGATTGTTTAAAATCCATGGAGTGATCGCATTATGCAGTGTTCCAAGAAAGCATTTTTATAAAGGGGGGTAAGACTGCTGCTTTAATTGTAAGGACAAAAGCTATTTCTCCTCCTTAATCTTTATTTAATGTACTGTCCCATTCTTATGCCATTGTTTTTTCTGTTAAAATCTAGTTTTACTACATTATTCTGCTCTTTTATTGCATTGTTTCCCATCTTTGTAGTCTCGCTCTAGAGCAGGGGTGGCCAAACTTGCTCAACGTAAACAGCCACATAGAATAAACGTCAGATGTCTGAGAGCTGCAAGACGTGAACAGATATTACAAACATGTTTTTTTATTTAAAAATATGCAAATTTGCTTTTTACTAGCATTAAACGAGACTGCCAAAAATAAAAAGCAAAAGGGGTAAAAACAGATATTGATAATGATATTTATTTGTCTGATGATATTTATTTGTTTGCAAATGATATTTATTTGTCAGAGAGAGAGAGAGGTGGAAAGAAAGAAGGAAAGAGGTGGAAAGAAAGAGAAAGAGAGAGAAAGAAAACGGAAGGAAAGAAGGAAGGAAAAGCATGCCTCCCCTTCACTTCCCCAGCCACCCTGCTGGGAGCCGCACAACATGTGTGAAAGAGCCGCATGTGGCTCTCGAGCCACAGTTTGGCCACCCCGGTCTAGAGCATTTTCATGTGTATTATCCTGTTTTATTGTATTCCCCCACCCGCCTTCAGTCTCAGGGAGAAAGGCAGACTAGAAATGAATTCAGGCAAGGTTGCCTTTCCTTTCAGCTCTGCTTGCTCATTTCAAATCACTCGGGGCCATTCATTCTGTGAGTGGTTCTCTGAAGGCTACCATACGCTGTCATCGACACCTCAGAGAAGGATGCGGACCCTGCCTTTGGGGAGGCGTTTGGACTAGACAGCCCTGAGGGTCCATTCCAGCCAACTGCTAGAAGTCTGAGTATTTTATTTGTTTATTTAAAACATTTATTAGCTGCCTTTCTTCCTTATGCAGCTCAAGACAGCTTACAGACATAGATAAAACAAACCGAATGAAATACGCTAAAAACGTAAAAACTAGTATTTAAAATCACTGCTCAGGATTGCTACTAAGTTTTAGGCCGGAGGTGTCAAACTCATTTGTTACGAGGGCCAGATCTGACCTAAATGTCACTTTATCAGGCCGGGCCATGTGTGCCATAAAACTTAACGCCAGATAGAGAAGATAGAGACTGTGGCCGGATCTGC